ATATAAAAAAATGAATCTAAAAAAAAATATTTTTGATGCATTCAAGTTGTTTTCATTTTTTCAATGTCTTTTTGAAAGAATATAAAATTAAAAAATATATTTTCAATGTATTTAGCTATTAGCATGTTCATTTCAAAATTTTTGGTTAACTTTTCTCATTGAGTTGACATTGATATACAAAAAAAATACAAAAAATAGAAAAATGGACAAATAGACCAAAGCATAAAGAGAAAAAATGAAGGGACCAAGATAAAACCAAGTTGCTTGAAAACTAAGCAATTGAAATGAAGAAACAAAATAACTTATAAATAGTAAAAAAAAATCTAGAATAAAAGGAGCAGAGACCGCCATTAGATGAAAAAAACCTTAACAAACAAAAATATTGTTTATCATCTCTTTCACCCAAAATGCTTTCCACCATTTTTTTTTTTAGAGAATATGATTTGAAAGATTGAGAAATAATCCCTATAAAAATGATAGTCATCTTTTCCTACCTTTCTCACACAAAAAAACCATAATCTTGTCTGTATTTCTCTAAACCTAAAACTTATGCCCTTGATCTCTCTCTATTTCCATTAACCTTTATTTCTAATGATATCACTACCATTATCTTTCTATCATGTCCCTTTCAAAAACCCCTAATCAATTGAAACCACTAGCGCTTACATCATCGTCAATTAAAAAGAGAGGAGAAAACAACCATAAGATCTTACCTCTTTAACTTCTCTCTCCTTTGACCTTTAAACCATATAATCCCATTGTCATTCTTCTTCTCCTGAAGGAAAACATACAACTATATAATCCTTATAACATAATAACCTCATTATGATCAAATTAGAAAGTTATAAAATGAATTGGTAAAGAGAAAAACCACCACCACATATCGATGGTGTTATATCTCCCACACTAACAGGAGGTGACTTACACCACCACCACATGTTGAAGTAGGATATTTGAGCGCACTCTTTGGATCCATCCATGAGCTAATCAAACATTAATGGAGCATGCAACAATGCGCTGAATATGACAACTCACTTTTGAAGCATGACTATCATGTGCCAACACTAATTTTCTTCATTCCAACAATATTTTGTCACTATTTTGAATTTCAAACCTTTCTTGAATAGTTATATTGCTTTATTATTTATTTTTATAGTGTTTTATAATATGGTTTGGATTATATAATATTCATTGAATGAATATTTATATTGAATAAATATCATGCTTATCTGATGATTTGCCCTGTGATGAGATTTTGGAATTATGCAATATATATATGGGATTATTTTATGTTGAAATGATGTTAGAATAAATCCATCAAATCTTGAATACTCATTCTCATATGTAAACATTGTGTGGAATAACATGCTTAGACTTTGTTTGTGACAATGTTTAACGATAAATTTTATGAGCAAGTATATTGGTGAATCACTTCCTTTCATTAACCATGCGAAGAGTTTAGTAAGATTTTGTTTTATTTTAAAGTATTTTTCTTTAAAAGTTAGTGATTATTTGTGACAATGTTTAACTAATAATTTATTTTGCAAGCTATATAGATTGGGCACGAGCCAACTTTGATGAAGTTATACGTGGAAACACATATATGAAAAAAGAATAGACAAAAAGGGGTGTAATAATTCATAGACAACCAAGTCGAAACGTTTGTTATAAGTAAACTTGGAAACCCTTTGAATATTTTTTTGACTATTTTTTTTGTCAATATATTTAGCTTTTTTTTAATAAAGGATACATATAACACTGATATACATGCCAAATACAAAAAAGACCCTTCAACCCATTTGGAATACGATCCAGAATGTGAATGAAGGCTAGAACAACCGGTAGACTCGATAATAATCAAGTTTATGGTATCTTTATTACTACGGTCTGAGATGTGATGGCATGTTGTAGTGTCTCAATTGTAGGCATTCCATAATCAAACCTGAGGCGACTATCATCAACCATTCAAGAGCTAGTTCAAGAATAAATTACTAATGCGAAGGTTGATTTGAGGGTTGGAATGGAGGCGCAATATAAAAAATAAAGTAGAAAGTAATGACAACAAATGATGACTTACATGTCAACTTATTATTCTCTAACTTATAGACCTCCAAGGAATTTTCCTCCCCTCCCCCTCCATCCACAGCTCCAACATTTCTCAAATATATTAAGATATTTATAATTGATTTTGGAGTTAAATTAATGATATTAAATTTATTCTTTAATTTAATTTAGTTGTTTAATGTTAAATTATTTTATCCAAATAAGCATGTATTTAAAAAGAAAAAACAAATTACTGAAATATTAATGGAATCACTAACAAACATGAAAGTTCTACTGGTGATTTCATCAATAATATAAGCCTATTTTATTGGAGAATTACAAAAAATTATAAATTGTTTTGATTTTATTGATAGATTCGCCGACATAATTTGTATGTTAGGAATTCTCTCAAGGAATCCATCAGCGATGCACAATTAATTACCAAGGGTTAGTTCGTTGTTGATCTGTTAGTAATATTTATCAATGGATTAGCCAAGGTTAGCAAAAAAAATTTACATGAATATTTTATTAGTGTTTCTTTGATTAAGTTATTTTATCAATTGAATTATCAACACGTCTAAAATCTCTAATAAGAAAATTTTTGATGAAAAGTTTCCATTGACAAATCCATCTATAATATTTGTAAGTAGCTGAAAATATAGTTTAAACACCAACAAAATATTCGTTGATGATAATCAATTTTCTAGTTGCGACTTGGATCAAAATTACAAAATATGCATGAGCTAAGACATGGATTAATGTTACCAATCATTCCAGTAATTAATCAATAATTTATCAACAAATTTCAAACATCTAGGCATGCATGTAAATATCTTGCTAGCACAGAACTGCGGGATGCATTTCCTCACTGCAGGAAACTAAGATCGGACAGAATAATAAATATGGATTCATGTATAAATATGTATTCACACTATTTAACACAAACATCTCTTGGCAGTCTCCCTCTCCACTCTTTATTGTTAAACCACGTGCGTGTGGATCCCTACCTAAAAATTAAGGTTGGCCCATGTTGGACATGTCTCGGTTTCTGTTAGGTAATAAGATGTTCCGAGGTCCAAGTTAAAGAATTCTTTTAAAATAAAACCATATTATTTTAAAAAAATAATTAATTCTAGTTGATATAATAATCTGGTAATTTATAATTTTTTTCCAAGTCAGTTATTAAATTTTATACTGTACAAAGCTCCCATGTTTATTTTTTTAGTAATTTAATTTTAATTAAAAACCTATTGTTTTTAATTTTTTAAGAAAAGGTAGGGTAAAAAAAAAACAAAAAAAAAAGATCTCTAGATGGTATGATATAAGTTTTATAAAAAATATATTTTGATCTTTAAACTTTAATAATCATGCAAATTATATAATTTGAGTAACTCAATGTTTTTCTAATTTAATTTTAATATAAAAATTTATTTTATTATTTTTTAATCCCTAACTATACTCTTCACTAAGCATCCACTTCTATTCTAATTTTGCACACAGTGGTAGCAAATTCATATATCAAAGCAAGTAGCAAAAAAAGGGTTACTGGTAATTGTTCTTTCAAATCAGGAAACTTGAGTGGGATATATAATTTATGTCATTTTATCCACTGATGTAATAATACACCTTGGATTATTGAATTACAGTACACTTTGAAACAATTTCCTTTTTACAAGTCATCTTAAAATGCTATTCCAGTCAAATCTAAGAAGGAGGGGATCATGTTGAATGTAGATAAGAATTTTTTCCCCTTTTTGTTATGTTTATTTTTTATTTTTACTCTAATATTTTCTCTAAGTTAGGTATGGGAGGTTGATGATGAAAGCTAGTGCGCGTATATGTTGATGATTGTTCATCAGGCTCAATGGACATGTTTTCACAGAGGCAATTGTCTGCTCCAAGTGCATGCACCAACAAAAAGACTAGTGATGAAGAAACAAAATTCTTTGAGAAAGTAGTCAAAAATCGCAGATAATAGAAGCTTTTAAGATTCTTACGGTCCTTTTCATTCAAGAAAAGCTAAGAACACATATTGCTCTATCTTCTTGTGAGCATGATATGGCCCATTTAAGCTGTCTTCTATCTTATATCTTTGGATTCAATGCATCTGTACATGCTTTTCCTTTCTTTAGTGCCATGAAATTATTCTACAGTTTACTCATTACAATCATTCAAGTCTATGAACTGGAAACATCAATGAGAATATGAGATTCTATTCATCCATATGTTTGTAGGACCTATGTTTCTGATAATAAATCCGGAAGACTGTTTGTGTCTTGTTATCGTCGTTGTTGTATGTCGCAAAGCCTATCGTATGATTCTATTTGAAGTTTGCTTGTCCCTTCAACCAGGGCCGGAGGCAGGGGGTGGCTGGGCCCCTGCAGCAAAAAAATTTCCTGGCTTCTTCCCGCTTTCAACGCTGACTGTGCTTTTCACCCGAAGGAAGTTATGCAAGAAAGAAGTGGTTTGGGTCAAGTGATAATCCAAAGGACATGTGTTTTTCCTTCAAAGACTTTGCTACCAATCTTGATGTTGCCATGATTTCAATGTTATTGAGCCATGATGATGAAGCAATTGATTGTGTGGTGATGGATTCCTGGTTGATTAGCTTTGAGCTATTGTTTTTTACACAATGGAGCTACGACTGTTGCTTGGTTAATCAGTATTATGGAAGGCAAGATAGAAACCTACCACCTACAAGAACAAACACCAGAGAGCTAATAAGAGAATGAGCCATTTCTTGGAGGTCTATTCCATTGGACTTTATCCTTGTATCATCCCTACAGCTGGCTACTAACTGGGAATTGTTTTTTCTCAAGGGTTTTGGCCATTATAGTTTTCTTTAGCTGCTAGTAACTAGTTCATGGACAAGGTTGATTCATGCAGGTGATGGTCAAGGGGAAGTCTACTTGATTTGATTCATATTGAAACAAGCACCAATTACATCAATTCACATGTTACTCAACAAATGTGACTGTGATTGAGATTGAAATTGGATACACATCAAATTTGTCTACATATTTCTGGTATATGCAAGGAGTATAAACAGGAAATCGCTAGTATGCTTGTTCATGTAAGATCATTACTTAGATTCTGTTGACAGCTGCATAAGACTATCTTCTTTTCCTGTTTCTCTGTCTCTTGCACACTAAAAAAAAACCATGAACCACATGAAAGTGTCTGGTTAAAAGGGTATAACAGATTCACCAAGTGGCCCAAATGCCAAATTCCAAATCATAAAGTGGATGCATGTATAATTTTGTCACAAAATGGATAATTTTATACAAGCAACACATAAAGCCTAGAGAGCCTGTTGGATCAAATGGATGCTTAACTGCTCATGCAGACAAAGCAGCATCAATACATAGGATGTTAAACACCACAAATCACTATAGCAGATCAAATTTGAAAAAGAGAAAAAGAAATTAGCCCTCGAATTGGACAAGTAAATAGCAATATAATCTCTCTGTTTTTGTACTTCATTTCTGGACCTTTTTGTGGAGTAATGCAAATATCATTAGCATTTCTGCCACATAAATAGACATTTGATTTGCGGCAAAGGGTGATAGCTAGGGAGCATATTCTTGTGCTTTATAGCAACAAAGAGTAATTGCCAAAAAAGCGGTCAAATGGACCATGTAGAGTGGAAGCAAGTGATTTCTCCATATCTTTCTCTTGACCATTTCTGTGTCTCCTGTGCATCATCAGTTGAATTTGTTCCCTGCAGAATTCATGGTTCAGCATCAGTCACTTTTGACATGCAACAGGAAATATTCATATGTGCTTACAACTGTATTTAATTCCATGCCAGCACAGGTAGAGATATAATGTATGCATGTACGAAATGGAACTTCCAGCACATAGCGACCAAATTATCTAATAAACTGCAATTCAACATATTAATTATTAGGGAAAAGATAAGGCAGACAGTAAAGCTAGTCAAGATTCAAGAAGTTAATGTAAGAGCACCTGAGCCTTCTTGGAAGATTCTGTGAGATTTTTCAGGTCATTAGAACAACTGGCAGCGGCAAGCTCCAACGAGAGAAACTGGGTTTTGACAAAACAAGGTTAATCCAAACATGCTGGTGCAGGGAACTATAAGATGAAACAGTAAAAATGTTTGTACCAGATTTTTTCATAGTAGGGTTACCTCAACTTGATTCTGCAATGAGTGTACATAATTGATTATCTCCTCAAGCATAACTGCCATCCCCATTGGCTGTATGTTCATGCACTCATGTGAGCTACATCTTATGGATATAATCAAGAAATTTAAACTTCAACTCCGAATAAGCGAAGGTACATGTTTTTTACGATTATACAAGAATAATAAATGCATGAAATATGCTCAAAAATAAACTTGTGCTAAGGATTCTTACCTTGTGGCATCCAGGAACAATGTCTTGCAAGCATCTTAATTTGCTATTGATTTTCTCTCTTCTTATCTGACACAACAAAGTAGTAAATTCACTGTCAAATTCTTCACTTCTTGACTTTCATTAGTACATTCCTATTGTTACACGTTAGAAGATATAATAAGCCTGGCCAGTGGTTAATAATCAGGCCTTATTGAATGTGTAAACTCTATTCAGTCAAAAACATACAAATTTACCCTTTCTGCTATACTGTGACTGTCTGTTGCCTGGCCTCTCTTAGCTCTAACATGAATAACTTCCTTTGATTTGTTCCCTTCTTTCTCCTTGTTTTTGCCTTTCTTACCTCTTCCTAAGTTCTGAACACATCAAGAAAAAGTAGTGCTCAACTTACTTTTTGCACAAAGACTAGGAGTTAAAAACTGAAATTATAAAACAACCAGTAATAACTTCATGAAACAGACGGAAACGCACATTCTTTTTCTTAGTGATGTTTATAGAGGCTGTAGGAGAAACGTTCTTGGAGCTGCCTTTTGATTGTTCCATTGCTTTTGGCTTCTTCCTTTCATGGAAAACATTTTGATTAAAGCTGACAGAATGAACAAGTGGTGTTGTACTCAAGATGTGAGGATGGGAAGTGCTTGAAAGGTTGTTGTGATTATATGTTGCAGGAAATTCAGGTTGTTGGTGGGCCAAGAAAGAGTCTGCTGAGAAGTCATGAATGATGCTGAAATTCTCCAAGATGCTTGGATTCAGCTCTGGAAGATGCTTGAGCATCTCCATGTTCATGTCCATCATCTCTGTCAAAGGTTGAGAAGCCCCATGCCTCTGCAGATATTCTGCAAACTCAGCCATTAAACTTCCAAGTACCAAAGCTTCTTAAAGGGCCTTATTTTGCTTACATATAAGAGGGCTTTGGAATACAATTTATAAGATTCCAACATGGTGCATTATTAGCTTAACAGCTTGTATTATTAGTAACTTGGATCTTGGGCCATGAAAATATGGTATCAATGTAAATTTGTTTTGCTTTACAGTTAAGCAAGTGAAAATTGAAAGCACAGGAGACTTAAAAGTGGAAATTTCATTTTCTGAGTCTAAGTTTCAATGGTAGGGACATGCAAAAGATATACATATCCAGTAGAGTAGGCCATGTATGTTTTTAGGGTGGGGCTAAAATATTGGAAGAAATATGATAAAAGTACAATTCTTTTTTGCTTTGCCAAAGGAAAAGAAAAGGTTAAGGTAAACTTCGTTTCTAGCTTGACATGAGGTCAACTTGGGACCCTGTATCATTTACAAAATGATATAGGCAATCTTTTGAGCAGCATGAACTATAACATAGCTTACTCAGTTGACCAGTTCAACAGTGTAAGGTTGCGGGGTATCTATCACTGCATTTTAAAAATATTTAAAAAAAAATTAAAATTCTTTTAATTTTTCTTTAAATTAATATGTTTTTAATGTTTTTAAATTATTTTGATATACTCATCTTAAAAATAATTTTTAAAAAATAAAAAATATTATTAGTATACTTTTCTAAAAAAATACTTTAAAAAATAACCGCAATCATATTTTCAAATACATTGTAATAATTTCATAATATTGCTCATGAAATTTCTTAATATAATTAAATTTGTATTTTAAAGATTTTTCTGTAACATTAGCAGCGTTAAAATTTATTATATAAATTTGATGTGCTATTAGCCTATTAGTTTCTATGTGCAAAATTAAAAACCTGAAAAAAAATTAAAAAAAATTATTTAACTGCCACTAAAGATTTATTAGGAAGAGTAATAGTGTCATTGGATTTGCACTGAGACTCGGGTGCATTGTTGATTGTATTATTCATATGAATAGTTGGCAATTTTTTTCTTTCCGATCATTGAAGTTTTATTATTTACAATTTTATCCTTCTAAATTATATTAACATGGTTTAAACACATAAAGTTTTCTGTGTTTAAAGTTCTTTTAATTCGCATGTTCTCCTATACACAAAGTGTCAAGGAATGTTCTACTATGAATTAAATTTTGATTTTGCAAAATAAAACTTTATATTATAATAGAAAAAATTTTAAAAAAAAATGAAGCAGGCCCCATTTAGATTATTGCGTGGAAAGCTTAACTTTGCTCCCTTCAGTTTTAGTTTGCCTACTAGATTTATCACCGACGGGTATATCATGTGCCAAAACTTTTTTTTATTAAAAAAATTTGGACAATGCAAGCTTGTTTTAAAAAATACAACTTGGGGTGTAGACCCTCTCATAACTCAATTTTAACCCTATTTTTTGTATATATTTCAAAAGATTAGAAAACAAAAGTTCATTTAGTCAATTTTAATCATTTTTTTATTTTTGTCATTACGTGTCAAATTAAGTTAGAAAAAATCATAAAAATCACAAAAAAATACAAAAGAAGTTTAAGAGATAAAAAGCAAAAAAATATAGTTGGAAGTGAAGATGGACCAATGATTGAGTCTCCCAATTCAAATATTGAGTTTGGGAGTTTTTAAAATCTCAGGAATGGTTTAAGTTGTAATAGGAGATTAAATTGAAGAGAAATCTAAGAAATAAGGCTCAAATGGGTTTAATTTGGCTGAAAATACACAATTCTGGAAACCATGGACCAAACAGAAAAAAGAGGTAAATATAGGGTTTAAATCGGACTATTCAAGGGCTAAATTGAAAGGAAATTTGGAAGTAGAAATTCTGATGGGGCCTAATTTACAGGCATTACGAAGTCAGTTAAATTGTCTTTCCATTTCTTTGTGTTATGTTTTCGTAATATACCAGGTTAAAACATTTATTTTTTTTGTTTTTTTTTTTTTAATTAACGTGGAATGTCTGACCTAGCTTATGCGCACCACGACTAAAACATTTTGCTTGAATCATTGCTGGATACAAAGGGCATGCTCAATCAGATGTCATGAATTTAACGATGGTTGCCTTTCTTAGTAAAAACTCAGCATGCTCACCGTTAGAATTTCTAGTAATTATAATATTAATATAACTCTATTTTATAACTCTATCTTTCTAAAGAGAACATAAAAACTTCTTTTTCTTTTTTCTGGCTGCAACGTTGGGTAGCCATAGACGCACCAAGAAAAAAGGTTGATACATGAATCAACTTTTTAAAAAAATCACGCTGAAGCTGAAAAAGAAAAGATTAGTTAAAAGAAAGGTGATGAAGTTAAGAGGAGGAGCAAAATTATGAAGTTAAAAAACAAAAACGATTTGTGCCAGCCTGACTCAATATGTTAAATATACAAGTTGTTTCATGAAACTAGAATAAATAAATAAATAAAAGCTAAAGTTAAATTCTAAACAATTTTGGTATCGAATGATAAAATTATAAAGAAGATCAATTAAAAGAAAAGAATAAAAAAATCCAAGCAAACCAAACTCTCGAATTTAAATCAAAACAAATCATGAAACATCATGCACCTCAACTCCAAGACAACATAATGTTGAAGGATGAAGTACAAAAAATATTAAATTTAAAAAGAGCAACTATAAAAAAATTAAATCAGCTCAGATCAACATAAGACAACATAATGTTGAAGGATGAAGTATAAAAAATATTAAATTTAAAAAGAACAACTATAAAAAAATTAAATCAATTCAGATCAACGTGCAAAACTTGCGGTCTAATTGATAGACAAGGATAGACAAATAGAAAGGAAAGTGAAGAAAATCACAAAGCCTATTATAAAAAAACCTCATCCTTGATTGATGAAACCAAAAATAAAAACTAATTATTTATTAATACAATGTTGAAGGATGAAATCTTTTTTAAAAAATCAATTTAGAAAACTTATCAGAGTAGATCTAAGCAAATCTCTCAAACCTAAGTTAATTTCTAAAATTTGCCAAAGTGAAGCTTGACTACAACAAAAAAAAAAAAAACCCAACCCGCCAAACTTGCGTTTGAGTTTATGGGACTGGATAAATGAAGAAAAAAATAATCATGAAGTCAAGTATAAAAAAACCTCAACTTTGAAAGATGGAACTAAAAAAAAAATTAATTTTCAACTGATATTATATTGAATGATAAAATCAAAAAAAAATCAATTTAAAAAAATCAAAGTAAATTCAACCAAAAACAACAAATAAAAAGACTCAAGATAACGCGAGTCAATTTGGA